AACTTAGGCACGATTTGCTGCTGCTAGATCAGGAGGCACATAGTTCTCTCGCCTCCTGATCTGGCAGCAGCAACTCTTGCCTAAGTTGCCTTTTTATTTTTACATTTTTTACATTTTCATCATGGCGGGCAGACAAGAGGAGAGTTGAAATCCTCTGTGACACAGCTGGAAGAGTTATGTGGGTCGGACAGAGGAGGGGGGAGAATTCAAAATTATTGTAATTTAATTTGTAATTTTTTATTGTGAGTAATTTGTGTGTGTGTGTGTGTGTGTGCCTGTGTGTGTGTGTGTTTCTTTCTTCACTTCACTCAAACAAACTCTCTCTCAATTTGAGAGAGAGTTTGTTTGAGAAGAGAGGGGCAGCCCTCAGCCCCCCCACTGGGAGCCTTGTCCTGCTCTCCTCTCCCTTTCCTCCTTCTCCTCTCCTCTTTCTTTGCCGGCTACTGCCTCGCCCCCCCCCACCTCCTCCGTCCCCGCCACTGTGTCTGACAGGCCAGGCGTTTTGAGTTTATGGCGGACATAAACACGAGATGCCTGGCCTGTTGGACACAGCGGTGGGGTTGGAGGAGGCGGGGGACGAGGCGGCGGAGCACGGCAGTGGCAGGCACGTTCTCACCACTGTGTCCAGCAGACCAGGCGTCTTGCGTTTATGTCCGCCATAAACGCGAGACGCCTGGCCTGTTGGACACAGAGGTGGGGATGTTGCTTTTTGCTGCTGCTACGCTCCCACCTCACCAACCATAATCCTCACCGCACATCACTGGTTGATTGGATACACATTTAATAATAAATAAATATCACAAACAAAAATATAAAAAGTATTTAGCAGGGGAGAATGAATAGGACCATGTAATATGAGTTTGCGTGAAAGAAATGATCGTGAGTTTGAGGGAGGTAGAAGAATGGGAATGTAACAGATGCAGCAGATGGACAAGATTAATTGAGATTATGAGCAGCATATTAATTTGATAAGTGAATGAATGAATAAATAATGAGATTACTAGAACATCCATAGAGGATCTCCAAGTTATTACCAAATTTAGATTACTACAGCAAGTATCTATTTATGCAGTTTCCAGAGCAAACCTGAACTTGGTGGTGCTGTTCTAAATGCAGTCTTCACTCTTCTACCCATGTCCAAATTTCTGCATGAAAAAGGCAGGATCTAAAAGTATCTATACTGAGTTTGGTGGATTAAGATAACTGTCTTAAACTAGTTTAAGCATGAACAGCATTATCATATGAATTCATGCACAACTTAATTTTACACAACTGTTCTTTTTAAAGATAATGTCAATGTCTACATTCTTATATCAGGATAGAAGCTGTATGTTGACAGGGCTGAAAACTCCTCAAAAGCATGAACTATGGATTTCACGTGCAACCTTTATGAACTTTGACAGTCACAACTGCACTGCAATTACTACCTGTTCTGGTTGTTACCAAGGTCAGGGTAAGTTAGATTTTTGGTACTGAACATGGTTGTGATGAGAAGTGATTGTGAAGAACACTAAAGAGGATTGTATACAAATATTTTTGCTCAAAACAGTTCATAGAAAAGAAACAATAAATTTACATATATACAGTACATATCCAAAGGCAATGCATCTTTTTCAAACAGGACAGCTACATTTGCTGGAATATGGTAACAGAAGAGACCATGGAGTTGATGTCACTTGAGGACAAGCATGCAGACTCTGTTTTCCAAATGTAGAAGATGAAGGTCTATAATGAAGAGCCTCTTTTATCAATGGACTCTCTTCACATGAATGAATTCTGGTTTTATCATGTGGAGAGCCATAGTGGATAGAGGAAGTCTCACACTGCATACATTCACCTTCTATATCCAGAGAGCCACAAGAGGAAGTTGAGCTAATAGATTGGCTAAATAAAAATAGAAATTCTAAGTGTAATACTTCGGATAAGAGCTTTTAAACTCAAAAAGGCTTATTATACAGTAAACATATGTAGGATTTCCTTTGCTTTAAAGCCAAGCACACACATCTCTACCAACCAGATTCATTTAAATAAAAAAGGATACAGGCTTATTTTGCAGTTCTTAAAGAAAAGCAATAGCAATAGCATTTAGGTTTATATACCATCCCATAGCACTTTATAGCACTCTTTGGGCAGTTTACAGTGTCAAAGCTTTATTTGCATATTGTCCCCAACAATCTCATTTTACTGACCTTGGAAGGATGGGAGGCTGAGTCAACCTTGAACCTATCAGAAGTGAACTATTGCAGGACCAGAATCCCGAATTACAACCCCAACAATAATAACAACAAGAGAAAAGTTCTTTATTGTTTAGCCATAAGAACATATTGTAATGCAAAAAATAAAATAAAATAGAAACTAGTATAGAGTTTCATGCTTGAGCAGAGGATTGGACTAGAGGACCTCCAAGGTCCCTTCCAACTCTGGTATTCTGTTAAAAAAAACATACAAACCAGAAATTCAACTCATATTCTATCACCATTGCAATTTGCCCCAATCCTATTTACATACACAGTTCTCATTTCCACTGTTTTATGCTAAAAGGATATTCAATACTTGTGTTCTGACTGCATATAAAATATATTGTTCTAAGTTCTAAGACCGGGGTGTCAAACTCAAGGCCTGGGGGCTGGATTCGGCTGGTGGGGGAATTAGATCTGGCTCATGGGCCTGCCCTGAAAACAGTGAAGGACCAGCCCACATGGCCCTCCCAAGCTTTGTTTTTGCTGGCAGAGGGCTGCAGGAAGTCATCACAGCTGAAGACAGAGCCCAGGAGGGCCTTCGTGGCTGAAAATGGGGGCTCAATAAGTGACATCAAGCTGGCCATGCCCCCTCTGGCCTCGCCGTCCCCCCAGCACCTGAGGTCACAACACAACCCTGATGCAGCACTCAATGAAATCGAGTTTGACACCCCTGTACTAAAATATAAGTCCCAGAGTCATTTGTCATATAGGTATACACATATACAAGCATGTATGTATGGTACATGCATATATTTTCAAACAAACATACATAAAATAAAAATGAACAATCACAAAAAAGAAAGGAAAAAAATTACACATTGAATAACACATAAAGAAAATAGCAACAAAAATTTGCAATTTCAACTTGATCAATCTGATTTTGTAAGTCTTTAAAGAGGAAAACTAAATTCACCCAGCTTGTCAAATAGCTTTTTCAAAAGCCAGAGGTAGTATGACATTTTCCGATTAACAGAATATACAATTTTCTCAAAATTGTCTAAATTGCACATGTCTGAAATGATAATATTTTGCCATCTCCTGTTGGATCCCACCTTTGTGCTTGAAGACAACTGAATATAGTTGCAGTGTGGTTTAGGAACCCATCCTTTCCCATTATTAAAAAGCTCTCTCCTTAGCTGGCTTCCATTCTGGCTAAGCAAACCTTGGGAGAGATGCTTTGCTTCAACAAGGCTCTAAGCAAAGTACCTCTTTGAAGATGTTTTGTGAAGCAATGCGATCCTTCACTTCTAAAGAAGAAAATGCTGCTTTCATGTTGATTTTGAGGCATGCTCAGAAGACTCTTCTGGCCAAAGGAAGCACCAGAAGCACAAAGGGTCCAGCGGGATGAATAGTGCTAGGAACACAAAGCTCCTTGTCAAGATACTGTTCAGCTGCCTCACACAAGCCTAATTTTCACTGTTCATGCTCATGGCAATTCTTAGTCTTTCCAAGAGAATTGTATTTAAATAATAATAAAAATAGCTTAGAACTGGGGTGGGGGGACTCCTTCTTGGAAGCAAACATCAAAGCTAAAGTAATAATATTAATAATAACAACCATGCATTACTAGAACATATACTGTTTTTAAAATCTATATAGAGTCAGGAATAACTGAGGTATGAAATTAGTGAGTAGATTCAAAAAAACCTGCTTATTTGAGATACCTGCCATTGAGACCAGAAAAAACATTACTGCCTTTTCTCCAATCCTAGCAATTTTCCTCTTGCTTAACAATTTCTTGGCTGAAATATGCATTCTAAAAATTGTTCACATATTTTAACTAATGGGAATGTGTGAAAACAGTCAATAGTTAGAAACATTGTACAAAAGACTGTGGAAATGCATTACTAATGGAAGATTTGTTTGGTGGTCTGAGACACACCATGTTTCCCTGAAAATAAGACAGGGTCTTATTTTTTTACACATACCCCCCAAAAAATAAGTGCTTGGCCTTATTTTTGGGGAGGTCTTATTATTTCTGAGGTGCAGGAAGTGACAAGTGTGGTCATCTCATGGCTGTTGTTGTGTTGCAATATTTTCGGGGAGGGCTTACTTTCAGGGGAGGGCTTATTTTAGTGCATGCGCTCAAAAGCCCAATTGGGCTCATTATCCTGGGAGGTCTTATTTTCAGGGAAACAGGGTAGCAAAAAGAAAACATTGCTGTTGATTTGATCAACAACACCAACATCATATTTTACATTTTTGAATTCTCAGTTTTCATTGGATGGGATTTTATAGCTTCCGTTAATTGTCCTATAATATAGTATGTTCCCCTTCTTTTTCAGGAGGCTTTATTATTAGAACAGAACAAGTCCTCCTCCTCAATGCCCAAACTGGCTGTCATTTCCATTCCCTCACTGTACCATCCTCAAAGAACTCGTGGCACGACATAACCGCGGTAGACTAAAGCGCGCCGACAACACCGCGGTGCTAAAACCACGATGTCAAAAGCGCGCCCACAACAGCGCGCCC